CCCGAAGATGACTACTCTTCGGGTGCTGCTGCATGTCGCCGCTCAGCGTGACTACAAGCTTCACTCTCTTGACTTCAGCACAGCCTTCCTACAGTGCAGCGTGCATGAGGAGATCTGGCTGCGCCGCCCACTTGGCTTCACTGGGTTGTTTCCTCCTGGTACCCAGTGGAGCCTCCGGCGGCCAGTCCACGGTCTCCGCCAGGCACCTCGCGAGTGGCATGACACACTGAGGACGACACTTGCGACTCTTAGGTTTGCTCCTTCGACTGCTGACCCATCCCTATTTCTACGCACCGACACTTCTCTGCCACCGTTCTACATCCTCGTGTACGTCGACGACTTGGTCTTTGCCACTGCTGACACTGAGGGACTCGCCCACGTAAAGTCGGAACTGAAGAAGAGACACACGTGCACAGACCTGGGTGAGCTGCGCAGTTATCTTGGCTTGTAGATCACCCGGAATAGAGCACAGTGCACCATTACCTTGACTCAGTTACACATGGTGCAGCAGGTCCTTCAGCACTTTCGCTTCACGTACTCCTCGCCACAGTCCACTCCTCTGCCTTCGGATGAGTCCGTAGAGCCGAGTGGCCCATATTTAGAGCTTGTGGGCTGCCTCATGTACCTGATGACCTGCACTCGACCTGACCTTGCTTACCCTCTTAGCATTCTGGCACGCTACGTTGCGCCCAGGAGACACCAACGAGAGCACTGGGAGGTCGCTAAGAGGGTGATGCGCTACTTGTGCAGTACGTCGGGCATGGGGCTCGTGCTTGGAGGACGGGCTCGAGTTGTCCTCACTGGTCATGTAAACGCTTCTTGGGTTGACGACTTTGCTACGCAGCGGTCGTCACAGGGTTACACTTTCAGCCTTGGCTCCGGCTCTGTTTCGTGGTGGTCTACCCGCTCGTCTTCTGTTCTCAGTTCTAGTTGTGAGGCTGAGATCTACGCAGGGACCATGGCTGCACAGGAGTTACGCTGGCTCACCTACCTGCTGACCTACTTGGGAGAGGCGCCTTGTTCTCCTCCAGTTCTGTACGTCGACAACAAGGCCATGATTGCCTTGTGTTAGGAGCACAGACTGGAGCACAGAACGAAGCACATCGCTCTGCGTTACTTCCTTGCTCGAGAGTTGTAGCAGCGTGGTCAGCTTCGTCTTGCTTACGTGGCCTCTTGGGCCAACACTGATATCTTCACCAAGGCACTTCAGCATTGTAACCATCAGGGTTTCTGTACTGTTCTAGGCCTTGTGCCTACCTGGCCTCACTTGCTCACTTCTTGAATTTGCTTGTACTGTGATCTATATACTTATGCCTGCATGCTCACACTTGCTAGGTTGTGATCACTGTACTGCTTGTTCTCTTTTATATAACTCTGCATGTGAACTAGCCTTGTGGCCATTTGCTTGTGCTCAGAATGCATGGTGACTTTGTGATCCACCCTGAGTTTGATTTGCTCTTCTTGAAAGGTCTTGTGACCTCTTGTTCTCCCCCACTTTGCCTATGGGGGTGTGTCAAACTATATATGCTGCATGTTGTGTAGGCTGTAGTGGGGTAGCCCATATGGGGTACCTCCCAATTAGGGTTTACTACTTGTACTCCTGCATGCTGCTAGTTCATCCATTCCTCGTTCATTCTCTTGACATGAAGTTGAGCTAGCAGTTCCCTGAGAATGCAGACTATCTTCGCTCTCGGTCTCTTCATTCGAAGGCCTTCGAGGTGGTGCTGAATGGAGTTCCGGCGGAGCTGACTCCGGAGCGGATTAGGAAATTCCCGGTGATGGTGTGGTTGGTGAAGAGGGGGTGGCCGCCTTTTAAGGAAGGATACGGTTTTCACAGGGTACAAGACCCGGTTACTGGGATAGATACGAACAAGATTAAGGGTCTTCTGATGCAGCATGAGAATGACCCGTATCGCGTCACTTTATCATAAACCCTACAATGAATGGGAAGAAGCTGCTGTTACACTTCCCTTCGCTCAAATGCCACTACTGCAACGGTCATCACATGACACGCTACCACGACGACTACGTCACTGACTGTCAGGCTAACATTGCTAAATGGAACCTCACAGTTAAACATATCCATGAAGTCAACGGTATTACTGTTTTACAGCCATGCAATGAATATCTCACCTTTTCCTCATATCACGTTACTGAATCTACTCTGTCCTCTCCTTTCCGTAGCGGCCTTACTGAAAGTCACAGATTCACTGAAAGCAATTTTGCTAGATCCAGCTCTTGTTCTCACCTCGACTGGAGGATCCCGAGAAGACTGGATTTGTGTTCTCGATGCCTGCGGCAAGGTGCATGGCAACAACCTCGAGCTGGCGACTGCACATGTTTCTTCTGTTCGTCATACCACCAATCTGACTGCAGCGGGAGCAGCCACTCGCATCAGCAAGGGTGCGATCAACATCGCAGCCTTCAAGAAGGAATTCCTCAAGTGACCTGTCAGGGACTGGGAGAGAAATTTGCAGAATGGGAGTTTAAGTGGGGAGAGATGTTTCAGAAGTATCATGAGGTAGTAGTGTGCGGAGTTGTGGTTAATGGCTCTGTAGCAACTGCTGTGCTGTGTGGAACCATCGTTATAACAAGATTGCTGGACAGGTGGATTTGTGTGACTCCGGCGCTGGGAATGAAAAAGCTACTTACGACAAAAGAGTCTTCTGACCCGTGGATGCGAAGGGGTCCTCAGCAGTAGTTTAATGTATAAACGGCATGAACTCACCATCACCGCGCTCAATGTGAACGGACTAGAGAGCGCGGAGAAGAGAGAGAACCTACTTGGCTGGCTTAAGAAATCCAGAGGAGTGATAGTACTCACGGATACCAGATTACCGGCTGACCACAACTTCTGGGCTCAAGTAGAAGCGGAGACGGCGGTGATAGTGGCCCCAGGTGACACAGCAGGCGGAGTAGCGATTCTGAATTTCAACAGAGAAGTAGTCCTCAACGATGTTCAGTGGCATGAATCGGAGAGACTGATAGCTGCGGCAATGAACTAGAGGGAACTGTCATGGACACTGCTAGCAGCGTTCTTCCCTGCACAGGCAACAGCGAGAGGAAGTTTCCTTAGACAGTTTATCCCCTTTTGTGGACTCTCTAACCCAACCTGGACATGTGATCCTTACAGGGGACTTAAACATTGCGGCAGACCCCATCATGGATAAAACATCTCAATAAGGATCATACGCGGAAGAGAAACGGCTATTACGTATATGCGCAAAATGGGACCTGAAGGATATATTCTAGACGCTATACCCCTCGCGGCTGGAATTTACCTTCCTGGCGAAGGCAACGATGACAAGCTCCCGTATTGACCGTGCGTTGGTGTCGACCTCTCTGCTCCCAGTGGTGGCTGACGCCTATCATACAGCAGCTCTAGTGGATGTCACGGATCACTGGTTCGGCATCACCACTGTACTGTCGGCGTAGACCGGGGAAGCACATGGTCCAGGACTGTGGAGAATGCATGCGGCTCAGTCGAGACACCCAGGGACAAAAAAATCATCCATAGGGTACTGCGGGATCAAGGCGGGAAAGGCAAGAAAGATCTGCACTCCACACTTGCAGAATTGCAAGCCAGCCTCAAGGCACACTCGTAGGAAGAGAGGAAGACCATGAGAACAATATCGCTTCTGGAAAACAGGGTGGCGGCTCTGCGTCATGATTTCATGGCGGATTCAAGTTTGGGTGAAAAATACGAGGAGCTGATAAGGTACGAGGCTCAATTCAAGGCATATCGGGACAGTCAAAGGAGGTGAAAACAGACGATGGCAGGGATCGGAGCTGAGATGAACGGAGAAAATGCGACGAAGTTTTGACACGGAGAATAGCAATAAGGAAGACTAAGACGACAATAAAAGAGATAGTACTGGATGGGAGAAAATATGAAGGGGAACGAGAGGTCCTGGCGGCATCGTCGGATTTCTTCTCCAGGCTCTTCAGTGCTAAGCAGTAGGATGCAGATGTGGAAGAGTGGCGAATGAACCCAAAAAAAACCCTGGATGCCGAAGCAAAGCAGAGACTCTCTGCGCCATGGTCGGTAGAAGAATTCCGACGGGCGATGAAGGAGCTACCACGAGGGAAGGCACCGGGAGCGGATGGTCTGCCGAAAGAGTTACTTGAGGACAACTGGGACCTGTTAGGGGAATCGGTAATGGGCTTTATGAAGGGGCTTGAACAAGAAGCGGTATTACCGAACAGTGCCTCAACAATGGTAACGATCCTAGTGCATAAGAAAGGAGAGAGGACAGACCTGGGAAATTACAGACCAATTACCTTATTGAGTGCGACGTACAAGATTGTGACGAAGTTGCTAGCAAACCGAATGAAGAAAGTGCTGCCGTTAGTCATCTCGGAGAACCAGTTTGGCTTCGTCCCGGGCAGGCGCCTAGCAGGCGCTGTCAAGGTGGTAGCGGACAGGATTGATGCAGTAGTGACAGGGACAGTGACAGTGGCAGTGACACGAGGTCAAAACCGAAACGGAGAAAATGGAGCCATGGCCATGGCGGAGAGCTTTAACTAGCCCAATGTCCATCAATTTCTTGCCTGATGTCAACATTGAAGTTACCAGACGATGCGCGATTACGTCCTCTTCACAATGGTGCTCTTTTAGTGTTCATTACGGGAACCTAACCACCATTTATTTGAGTTCTAGGCAATCGTCTGTGCTTCACTGTGCATCCTGCAAGCTAAGAGTTCAAGGCTATTATCAAGGCTATAAGCAGCTCCATGGATACTACCACGCGCCATTATCATTGTCTCCATCAGGTCGCGTCGACATCAATGGATTTTCAACAAACAACTTAGTGTTTCCCAAGGACAACTATCTTCGAGGCTCTGGGCCATTCCTTGAGGACGCACTTGTCGCCTCGGGCCTGGACCTGCAGCGTTTCGCTTTTTAACACAGGAGATATAAGACATCGGAGTTTTTGGTGCTCAGATCAGCTTTTTCTCCAGCCACTCTCAGGCTGTCAAGCCTTTCTCATCATCGCACAATGGTGAAACCGCGTAGCAACAAAGTTGGCAAGAAGTTGGAGGGAGGTGACCACGGAAAGGAGACGGAGACGAATGTTCCTGACGTACTTGTGCCAGACGCTGCTGACAAGAGCCGGGCCATCTCCCCAGCGACGCCTGCTGTGCTTGGCCCTTTTGAAGACCTGCTTGATCTGCAAAACAAGGCGGACAATGCTGCTGGTACTGGTGATGGCGTCGCTGTTGACGAGGCGACTTCTGGAGGACAAGATGAAGTCCCGGTGAAAGAAGGATCTACTGACACGGACAATAAGGATGATGAAGAAGAAGACTTGTCTGATCCGGTCCCGGAGGATGAAGACGATGGGTATCTGAGTGATGACTCGGACGAACACCTAGAACCTGCCTCGCTCTCCAGTGCTTTGGCTCTGAAACGTTTCACACTAACCTTGCTGGTGACGATCCTCAGGAAAACAGAGATCAAGCGCGCTGCTGTTACGATAGCTGCGTTGTTGGACGACTGGAAGGACCAGTTAACTCCAGATGTGCTGCAGACCACGACCTACCAGGAGCTTTCGGCGACCTTCTTCCCTGGCACACGCTACGGTCGGCTGCAAGTCACATTTAACCATGTCAGAGACGCGAACTTCGTATGGAATCAAGTCATCAAACACGAGTGTGTGAATGGGGACATCATCGACCTTACCTGGCAATTCCCTGAAGACGCGCGCTTCCTCCGAGAACGTGTTCTGAACCCGTTGGCGCAGGAGGTGGTGGTCAAGGGGGTGCCGGCAGAAATCACTGCGGAGCTTATTCGCCATCTGCTGGTTGTGTCAAAGCTGGTCAAGCGAGGCAGGAGTGCTTTTGCCAGCGGTTTTGGCTTTCACCGTACGCTGGATTCGGTTTCTGGGCTTGATACTGACCGTATTCGTGGGCTGGTTGTTCCTCATGCTGACGATGAGTATCGCTGGAGGTATTTTGTGGAAGAGCCGACGTCGAAGAAACGCTACCTGCTTCATTACCCGTCACTCACCTGCGAGTTCTGCAGCGGTCCGCATATGTCTCGTTACCACGATCACTATGTCACGCCGAGACAGGAAAACTTCACCAACTGGAACCTGACGGTTAAAAAGGTTCATGACATGAACGGTACTCACCGAGCTGTTTCGCGTCTCTTCCCTTTGCAGTACTTACCGCTCGATCCACTTCTCATACCTTATCCTGACGGTTTTTTCCTTACCTCTTCTCGCAGCTGCATCCTTGAAAGCCACCACCTTCTTGAAACGTATCCTGAAGGATCCCGCAGTTATACTCACCTCCACAGGAGGGATGCGGGAGGAGTGGGTGTGTGTGCAGACCGTATGCGAGAAGGCACAGGGGAACCGGTTCGAGCAGGCAGCGGCTCACGTTGCATCTGCCAAGCACAAGGGGGGTCTGCGTACAGACGGAGCGGCAACCCGTGCCAGCAAGCACTCTCAGGAGATGGCTGCTTTCAAAAAGGACTTCATTGTCAAACTGGCAGCGAAGTGAGCAGTGACCTGACAAGTGCACTATGAAGAGAAGGGAGGAGGCGGCAAGGTGGATTTTGGGAGCAGGCTGTGTAGTCGGTGCTATGTTATCTTTCGCTGTAGCTGGTTGTATCGTCGCAATAAAACTCTATCGCCCGTGGATGCTGTGGGGCTCAAAGGAGTGGCCCAATGAATAAGCACAACAACCTAACCATTCTCGAGCTCAACATCAACGGGCTCGGTAGCAGCGGGAAGCAAGAACGATGCGCACAATGGATCAGGAAAGCAGCGAGCATTGTGGTACTTACTAATACGCGTGTTCCAGCCGATCACAATTTCTGGACGCAAGTTAGATCAGAGGCTCAGGTCGTGGTTGGCCCATCGCAGAGAGCAGGAGGGGTGGCGGTCTTGGGTTTCCTGCCAGGGATGCGTTTCACAGAAGTTAGTAAACATGCGTCTGGTCGACTCTTGAACCTGATGGTATCTTGGCGGGATCTGAAGTGCAGAATAGTGGCAATATATCTGCCGGCGCAGGCAACTGCCAGGGGGGTCTTCTTCCGTGATGAGTTATCCCCTTTCGTACAAGGCCTGGCCGCCTCTCCCTATACAGTCCTCATAGGAGACTTGAACATCGTAGCGGACCCGGAGTTGGATAAGTCCTCGAAGCTGGGGACTCCGGCGGAGAACCAGAAGCTTCTGCAGATATGCTCGAGATAGGAGCTGCAGGATGCTTTCCGGAGTCTTCACCCGACGCGTAAAGAATTTACTTTCTTCTCTAGATCTGCAAGGACGAGTACGCGGATTGACAGGGCGTTAGTTTCTCATTCCCTGCTCGGGTGTGTAACGGAGGCGAAGCACTGCATGGTATGTCAACGGGAGTGTTGTAAGGCCCCGTCCTCGCTTGGGCGGAGCCAACCTTGTGGTCGGATGTGCGGGGGTTGCAGCCGACCTGCAGCAGTGGGCACGGGGGCCACTGCAAGGGCGCCAAGCTGGAGGGCGCCTGGCTGGAGGGCGCCGAGCAGGAGGACGCCGCCCAGGACGCCTGGTTGGCGTCCCGGACGCCTGGACGGCGTCCTGGGAAGCTGGACGCCGAGCTGGGCGTCGCCACGATTACCCGGGCGCCTGGTCGACGTCGTGGGCACATGCACGGCGTTCTGGAAGGCCAGACGCCGACCTAGGCGTCTGTACGGCGTCCTGGGGGCCCACACACCGACCTGGGCGTCTGGTCGGAGTCCTGGGAGGAGGGACGCCGCTCTGGAGGTTTGGTCGGCGTCCTGGGCGTCTGGACGCCGACCTGGGGGTTCGGAAGGCGTCCTGGGCGCCTGGACGCCGGACTGGGGACGCCGGGCATACGTGGCCGGCTACGGACTGCGCTGGTCGGCCAGGCGTGGTTGCCCGGTCGACCGGAATACCCGGGTGACGTGTGCGAGTGTCGCCAGGGTGGAGTATGCGAGGCCGACCTCGGGGGTGGTATCCCGAGGTCGACGTGGCTGGTGGGCGCAGTCGCTGGCGTGAAGTCTGCCAGGCGTCTGCGCTGTGCTCGTGACAAGGTGTGGAGCATCAACCAGCTGCGCGCACCTGCGAAGCAGGTGCACCGTTGTCCTGCGGGTGCAACGCTGTGCAGCCGACTTGGTGCAGCGCTGGCACACCGTGGACTTGCAACGTTGGCGAACCGCTACTCTGCAACGCTGGAGCGGTGCGAGCGCTGCTGCGCTGGAGCGCGGGGGACCGTGCTGCGCTGGAGGTCGACCAGCAGCCTAGCTAGCACTGATGTAGTCTGCGATGCCAATGTTGTTGCTATCATTGTTGTCATGTTTTCCTAGTGAAACTCTTGCCAATTCTCCCCGTGAACTAGCAAGCAGCGTGAACACAAGGAAACGACTAAGTGAACGAACGCAGAGATCACACGAGCACACGTGCCTAGCCCGTAGTCTAGCTCCCGTTGCAGCAGTTATCTCCGCATGGTGCGGTAAGCGTGGACGACACCGCGACGTAGTTCAGTCTAGCCGACTTAGTACTTACCGATCGTGTTTGTAGACCGGCAGCCGTGCAGTCACTAGCGTGCGCGTAGGCGACGCCGAGGTGATGGACACCCTGGAGGGACGGCTGGAGGATGCGAGGAGACGCCATGAGGCCCAGGAGTACGGGGCGATACCCTGGGCAGTCGTCGAGGCAGGACTCCGCTCCATGTGGGCGACGGAACATCCCTCTTCACGACCAGCTTCTCCTCGACCGGTGACCAACGAAGGCGGCGTCGACGTGGGCGTCAACGCCGGAGGTGGCCAAGTCGGCAGCAGTGCGGGAGGCACGTCGAGGCAGCGTGGTGTGATTCACGCCGATGAAGTCGGCGGCGTTCAGGCGCGAGGGGTGCAGTCGTCGGCGGCTGCAGGCTCCTCGCAGGGCGACGTCGGAGGACGACGAAGTGGTTTGTCGCCGATGTCGGCGACCCAGGTGACGGCGGGTGGGATTGCACCGAGCTACGGCTACTTTAAGTTTACGCCGGATAGGATCTCGGTCACCCCGCCGCTCGTTGGTCGACAAGACATCCTCACCTGGGAGGAAGCTATCGAGCCCCAGCTGGAGATGGCCGGGCTGATTGGCTTCGCCCGAGGGACCGTGGCGACGCCGGAGGAGCACCACGCCGACTTACGAGCAGAGTTTCGCACCGTGCAGCTGTTGACCTTCACGGTCATCTCGCGGTGCTGCTCGCCAGGCGTGCAGATCGCTTTGAAATGGTGCCGAGAGTACCTCGACGCCGGCCACCGGGCGTAGCAATTCATCGAGTCGACCTACCAAGTCACCGACGACTTGTTCATCGCTCAGCTAGAGGGACAGCTGACGCACCTGTGCATGGGCAACGAGGAGACGGCGACCGACTACTGCAATCGGGCCCAGCGTATTCTCGCCACCATCAGGATGGCCGGCGCCCAGTACTCGACGGCGTCGTACGTCACTCACGTCATGCAGGGGCTCTCGAGCAGCTACAACCTCCTGAAGCGGCTATCCATGGCACCGAGCACGAGGATGAGGCTCAACGAGGATAACCTGACCTCGTATATCCTGCAGGACGAGGCGATGCAGGAGGCCGAGCGATCCCAGGAGCTCTTGGCGCAGGCCAACTTCGTCGCCCCGACGAAGCAAGGAGGCCGACCAGGGCAGCGTGGGCAGTCGGGCGGCGGCGGTAGCAGTGGCTGGAAGCCGAACAGGGACGCCGACAAGAAAAAGTCGGCCAAAGAGAGCGGTCGAGGAGGAGGAGGTCGACAACGGGAGTGCTGGCTGTGCGGCGACCCCGACCACCTCTCCTACGAGTGCCCCGACCGCAGCGATACCGACGACGACGACGCTAAGGGAGGCCGCGGGAGGTCGGCCAGCCGTCGTCCACATCGAGGAAACAAGCCGCGCAAGGAGAAGCAGTCGACGACGTCGACCTTGGCGAAGGACGCCGACTCCTCTACAGGTGGCAAGGGGCGGGACGACAAGACGGCGCCGTGCTCGCTGGTCGGCGTCGTGGAGCCGACCGTCTCGCTGGCGCCAGAGGCCGGGGAGGACTTCCAGGCGGTAGCGGCAGCTGTGCAAGCGAACCCGGCGGTGGTACTGCTCGACAGCGGTTGCTCCCACCACCTGATGGGGACGAAGGAAGTCTTCGTCGACCTGCAACCGAGCAGCTCCATCAAGCACGTGCGCGGCTTCAATGGGGCACTGCAGGACGTCCAGGGCCGCGGCACCGTCGCTCTGCAAGGGGAGGCCGGGAAGCAGGTGCTCATCCCCGACGTGCTGTACGTCCCGGGTGTGCGGGCAAACCTGCTTTCGGCCGGCCAGCTGAAGGAGCACGGCGTGAAGCTGCAGGAGGACGGCGACGGGATGCTGCTCGTCTCGGCAGCTGGGGAGGTGCTCGGTCGGGCGACGTACACCGGGCGTGTCCTCTGCACCGACCTGCGCCCCTACTCGGGCACGCCGACAACGCCTACCACGGAGGTAGTGGCCCTGCGCGCGATCGTCTCGGCGACAAAGGCAACGCCGGACAGGATGCACGCAAGGCTAGCGCACGTCGGCATGGACACCATCAGGAACTCGGCGAAGAACGAGGTCACCATTGGGCTGGACCTCAAGTCGGCGACGGGCGCCGACTCACCGTGTGTCTCGTGCGTCGGCGGGAAGCTGGCGCGGCACACCTTCCCCGACCAAGGCTCCGACGCCGACGACGTGCTGGCCGTCGTGCACGTCGACCTGTGCGGGCCGTTCCGCGTGGCTGCCAAGGATGGCAGCCTGTACTTCTTGTTGCTGAAGGACCGCAAGACCCGCTACGTGTGGGTGAAGACGGTCGCCAAGAAGTCAGATGCATTGCCGGTGTTCGTGCAGTGGCTGGCGGTGGCTGAGCGGCAGACGAAGAAGTCGGTGTTGATGCTGCGCTCTGACCGGGGAGGGGAGTTCTTCGGGAAGCAGTTCACCGACTTCGTGAACGGCAAGGGGATCGTCCACGACCTGACCTGCCCATACACCCCGCAGCAGAACGGCATGGCGGAGCGGGAGATGAGGACGGTGGTGGAGTCGGTGCGGACGATGCTGCTGCACATGGGCGTGCAGCACCACTGGTGGCACCTCGCTCTCCGGCAGGCCGTCTGGGTCCGCAACTGCCTTGAGAGGTCGGCGCTGCCGCCGGGGACAACGCCGTACCAACTGCTGACCGGGAAGAAGCCCGACTTGTCGCTGGCGCGGGTGTGGGGCTGCATGGCGCAGTTCTTGGTCCCTGAGCAGCAGCGTGGAGGCAAGCTGCAGCCCAAGGCCCGGTGGGGCCTTCACCTCGGCGTGTCGGGGGAGAGCAAGGGCTGGGAGCTCCTCGACATTGCCGACAACCGGGTTGTCACCACGTCGGACGTGGTGTTCTACGAGAGCATGTCGCTGGAGGTGTGGAAGTCAGCGCACGGGCCGGCGTCAGGGCGGATGCCGGTTCCCCCGCCAACGGACACCTCGACGGCGACGCCGCCTCTACTTGCCGAGGTCGGTGAGGTTGCTGGTGAGGAC